GACCTCGACCCTAGAAACCTGAACCTCGAGCCCTCAAGACTCACCTCCCAGAAACTAACATGGAAACCCAACAAAGGTCCTATAAAGGCTACAGCCCCTTTAAAAGGGGGGCTACATGGGTTTCCATGTTAGTTTGGGGGAATGTAGACCGAAAAAAACCTTACACCGTCACGTAGGCGTACCTCCCTTCGGGTTTAGGGTTTAGGGTGTAGGGTGTAGGGTTTAGGGTTTAGGGTTTAGGGTGTAGAGTAATAGGGACCATCAGGGATAATGGTGATTGTATTAGGGTCCCCTTGTATATTCCTATTATACGCTATTGCAAGGCGCGGGGTCCACCTAAACCCTAACCCCAAAACCCCGAAACAAACAGCAAAACCAAATTGAAATCAAACCCTCAACCCTGAAAGGTTAGGCTTTAGCAGTTTTACATTTACCAAAAAAAAAAAGGTTCATGGGCTCAGTAACTACTGATAACTGGGATTATCATTCTACGTTAACTGGGGCAGGCTGGATAAGTCCAGTTAGCGTGATCGTACGTAGGCTTTCAAGCTCAGGCATGAAGATTTACAACATAAATCCATGAACCCTAAACTCTTAACCCTCTATCCCCTGACATAACCCTGTTTAACCCTACCTTACTCCTATATCCCCTGTTAGTAGTTACTGGGCCCCCGGAACCTTGGAGCAGAGCCCTTAACCTGGGCGCGGCGGTTAACCCCTTGGCCAGGGTTTAGGGTATGGGGTTCCCCTAAACCCTAAACCCTAAACCCTAAACCATAAACCCTAAACCTGGGGTCCTCAGTTCTGAAGTGGGTCCCAATCGTCATGGCCGCAAACCCAGAAATGACGTAGAGGACTGCAAAGAGGAGCCTCGGGTTCAGGGTTTAAAGGATTTAGGGTTTAGGGGTTTAGGGTTTAGGGTTTAGGGTTTAGGGTCTAGGGTTCAGGGTTTAGGGGGTAGCACCAGGGATAGCCGTGGGTCTTGCCAAAGGGCATATGAGCTAAAGTCTCCCAGCATCCCCATGAATAACTGCTATAGTAGTCCCCTATGTAATCCCTTGTATAACCCTTTTATTGTAGTGTAAACCCTAAACCCTATGTACCCCCTTCCAGGAATTTAGACTATGGCTCATACAGGGGATCCCTAGAGAGAGCCATAAAAACTAGGGCTCGAGGTTCAAGGGCTCGGGTTTGCGAATGGGTTTAGGGTTTAGGGTTTAGGGTTAAGGGTTTAGGGTTAAGAGTTTAGGGTTTAGGGTAAGAGGAGTTGGGTCTACTTGGAGGGGCGTAACTTAAAAACTACGTAGCACGTGAAAGCTATTTGGTAGTTTCTCAGGATAAGGGGACCCCAGTATAGACCCCCAAATACTATAATCCTTATTATGGGGACCCCCAAAATGGTACCCCTAATTTTGGGAAACCCTAAACCCTATATATCCCCTACATTATCCCTACAATCCCTTTAAAGGTACCCCTAACTTGGGGAACCCCCATTTGCAAGTTCCCTAAGTGCCCAAATCACGGCTACTGGACGGTACGCAGATGTGAGGCTTTGAAATTTTAGGGGTTTTTTGTACGTTTAGGGTTTAGGGTTTAGGGGTTTAAGGTTTAAGGGTTTAGGGTTTAGGGGCTTTGGGTGAGGGGTTTAGGCTTTGGGGGCTTAGGGTGCAGGGTTTAGG